AGTCATTAGTCAGTAAACATATATTAACAGGCTTTGTGTCAGATGCTGTACTAAGAGCTGGGGACACAAATACAAAAGAGTTAAGATAGCCCTGATCTCAAGGAGCTTACAGTCTGATGAAGGAAGACTACACACAAAAGAAAGCTGAAAAGTTGGTGGAGGGGGCAGGAATCCATGAGTACCCAACGAAGGGGAATGAAGGAGAAGGCCCAGAGTAGTGCAGCTAGGTGAGAAATAAGATATTTTGATGTGGGGGCCCTGAGTTCATGTCCCTACACTTCAGTCAGGGACAGAAGTAAGTGATGAGATACCTAGATTGATAGGATCTGCAGAATGATGTTTTCCCAATAATGAGCTTCCCATATGATTTTAGGACTGTACGAACACAGAATTAAAACTAAAAGAGACCTCAGGGTTCATCTGGTCTAACCCTTAACTTTATAGGTGAGGAAATTGACATCCAAAAAGGTTAAGTCACTTACTGATAACTCATATAGTTAGTAAATCTCAAAACTGAGATTCAAATCCAGATACTTTTAACTCCATGTCCAGTACTCTTTGTTTAGCATCAGATTGCCCACGGTTACAAAGCTAATACAAATGAGAGAACCTGCACTTGATCCCAAGTCATTTGATTTCAGATATTGCATACTTTTCTCTGTATCAGGATACTTTTCATTGAATGTGTTTGGGAGAAAAATAAAAGAGTATCCTCTATGACAGTGTTATCTTCTGGTTATTACATACCCCTTCAAGCCATGAACATAGTGTTTCATACAAAAGAAGTGAGTAGCAGATTAATTTAGATTCCTTAAATATTTGAACCAGACCCTTAAGCTCTTCTTTCCATAAATTATACACTAATAATCCTACCTTTATTTAGATAATGGTTGTTTATGCTTTAGAAACTTGTGAAAACAGGACCCATATGCAGTATTGTCCTAGCTAACTAAGCCTTTAACTAGTTTGCTATGAAAGAAGGAATAAATGCTTGCCCACTGTAGGAGTAATACTGTTGCTATTTTGAAGTTTTTATATCATTGAACACTTAACTTAGAAACTTAGAATTTTTCCAGTGTACCAAACAGGCAGTAAACCAAGCTTTTCTACTTGCTGAACTATTTCTAATGCATACTGTTTCACAACTTGAATCGAATTTGAATCATGCTTTAGTATTGAGTATCCCTTGATGTAGTTATGAAGAACTAAAATCCTATTATCTGCTTTTGAGAGTAAAAACATTTGATTTACCATACTCTCAATTCTGTTGTGTTTTAAGATTTGTAAAACATTTTCCTCATAATCCTGAAGTAGGTACAGTAGTATAAAATATACTCATGTCATAGATGAGGAATTAAGACTGAGAGTTTATGAGTTGCTCAAATCTATGCAACTAGTGACAGAACCATTATTTGAACTGAGGTCCTTTGGCTTTATGTTCTAGTGTTCATTCTGTTATACCATAGTATCCTTTTAATACCACATTTTAGTCAAAATAAACTATATGTACTTTTTAATCTCTTTGGCCACATTGCTCTTGGGAGTGCTTCACTTAATGACCTCTACATAATCAAACAGAGGGAGCGTAGTGCCAACAGATAAAAGTTTAAATCCCTCCAACCCCAAGAGTGTAGTCCTTCCTATTTACCACTTCTCCCAAAGACAAGATAATTCTAAAGAAGTAAATACAGTGGGGGGGGGAGGGTTAGGAAATCAATCCATATTCAACTCTAGGCATTTAATTTCACTGTTCAAGATACCTTGTAGCTAGAAGGGGTCTTCCTAGCTTTCATTTTTACAGTGGAAGTAAATGAATCCCAGAAAAATAAAGTGACTTGACCAAAGTCACGTCTGGTCTGTGACAGAGCTAAAACTAGTTAGTCTGGTGCTCTTTATTTTTTTTAAATAACTAAACCATGCTGTAAATGTACAAAAGTCTAAATCACCCTCAAAAGTGTAGTCCTTCCTATCCCTCCCACCCCAATAATTCTAAAGAAATAAACATAATTTAATGGGGGGGGTAGATAGGGGAGTAGGTATGTCTACATTAAGCACCTACTGTGTGCCAGATGCTAGGGACACAAATAGAAAAGCTCTCCAGAAGTTCACATTCTGGATTGGGGGAGGTAGCACATAAAAGAAAGTTTTTCAGGTTAGGGGCAATGGAAAGGCACAGTGGTAATGCAGTAGTGTAGTGAATGACAAGGTCCAGGTAACTTTAGGTACATTAAGAAGCAGTGCTGAGTGTCTAAAAAGAAAAGCAGCAGGAGCTCTGGATTCCCTCCTAAGTGGGTGGTTAGTATCTCTCACATATATCCAATTGCTATTACCCTAGTTATTATCTCTCCTCTAGACTGGTCACAGAATTTGAGGAGAATTGGGAGAGAGCTCAAAGTGACCATCTACTCAAGTCTTCTACATGACCGTTCTTCTTTTCTGACCACATCATTCCTCTGTTAAGAAACCTTTAGTGGCTCTGCATTGCCTTTCGTATAAATTTCTTAGCTTGGCATTCAAGGCCCAGCATAATCTAGCTTCCAGTTATCTATCCACCTATATTGTATATGACTTTCCTCCCTGTACTGTGTTTCAACTGTAGCAAAATATTGATTATTCTTCAGTCTGGTCTTGCACTTACCTGCCTCTGCCTTTGTATATGTTAATCATAAAAACTAAAATGGTTCCCCCCTCTTTGAAATCCCCCCCAGCCTTCAGAGGTCAGCTCACATGCCACCTTCTCCATGAAGCCTTCCTTTGTCTCAGCTATAATTGGTAAGATTTAAAGCTGGTAGGATTTTAGAGAAAATCTAGTCAAACTCTTGATTTCATAAGTGAGGAAATTGAGACCCAGAAAATTTGCCCCAAATCTCAACAGTATGAATCGTTCCCTTCTTTAATCTTATACTACTATTTTGGATCTTTTCTGGGTACTTAGAATTTGTATTCATTATTTGTCTTCACCGGTGCTATATTGGAAGCTCCTTAAGGACTGTTTCATTTGTATATTCCCAGGACCTCATATAGTACAAGGCCCCTGAATGCTTGTTTAATTGAATAAAATTTTCAGCAACTTGAGGAGCATAGACACCTGGAAATCCCACTAACACCTCAAACTCTGTGCCTTCCCCTCATTTTTCTATTTTTATTGATGGTACCACCCTCCCAATCACTCAGCCTCAAAACTCATCTATCAGTCTCTTTTTACTCTCAGCACTCTAGTTATTGTCCCCTTTACCTCTTCTCTCCTGGATGCTACAATAACTTCTAACTGCTCTCCCTCTTTTAGTTTCTTCCCTCTTTGGGTCTGTCCTCCTCAATACATGCCCAGTTGAGCTTACTAATGTACCATTCTCTTCTTTCACTCATCAGTTCAAATCCCGTCAGTGGCTTTCCATTATTTACAGCCAGAGTTCTTAAACTTTTTAGTTTCACAGACCCCTTTGACACTCTGGTGAAGGCTATCAACCTTTGATAGAATAATGTTTTTAAGGGCATAAAATAAAATACATAGAGTTACAAAGGAAACCAATTATTGAAATAGTTACCAGATTATTTTTTGAAACAAATTCACCCATGCCAGGTTAAGAACCCTTTGTCTATAAACCAACTTCAGCTTTCTTTCTAGCCTTATCTCACGCAGCCTATTTCACATAACTGTTTCTCAAGCAAATTGGAAGTATACTTATTTCCTGTTTTCATGTTACCTTCTCCTAACCCCATGATTGTTCACCTTGGACCCTCTTAACCTCTACCCATTGAAATCACTCCAAGAGCCAGCTGAGGCACCTTTTCCATGGCCACTCTAATCCCCACATAAATTATTGCTGAGGACATCCTTGTGCAGGGGTGGGGAACCTTCAGTGTCTCTGTCTCTCTGTCTCTCTGTCTCTCTCTCTCTCTCTCTCTCTCTCTCTCTTTTTCTCTCTCTCTCTTGCTGGGCAGTGGGGTTAAGTGACTTGCCCAGGGTCACACAGCTAGTAAGTGTTATGTGTCTGAGGCCAGATTTGAACTCGGGTCCTCCTGACTCCAGGGCTGGTGCTCTGTCCACTGGGCCACCTAGCTGCCCCCGGAACCTGCAGTCTCAACGCTAAAAACGTGGCCTTCTAGGTCCTTGGGTGCAGCCTTTTGACTGAGTCCAAGTTTGACAGAACAGATCCTTTTATTAAGAGGATTTGTTCTGTGAAGTTTGGATTTAGTCAAAGGACCACACTTGAGGACCGACATAGGAGGCCTCATGGCCAAGGCAGCAGCTTTCCCACCCCTGTACCTTGTGCTTTGCAGTATAATTTTATACAAAAAAAAATGGGCTCAAATAGTGAGCTTTAACACCAAACTCATATTCACTTCTATCCTAAACAAGGATAGTTTTATTATAACATAGGAGTATGTTTGCATTTCTTACATTTTTTTTATTAAAGATAAAACAAATGTAATTATCATTTCTCACACTGATCCTATATCTAACTATTCAAAAACTAAGTATTCTTATAAACTCACATTTTTGTAAGTTTTTCATAGAATCTGAGCTGAAAAGGACCTTGGAATGTAGAATGTAAACGCTAGAGAAACCATCTAGTCCAAGGAATAGGAAACCTGTGGCCTTCAGGCTAAGGTCATCTTTCCCTGATGCTTTTTAGTGCCACCTTGTTTCAAATGCAAACAGACTTGAGTTACAGTTTTGATCAACACCCCTCCAGACTGCTTCCATTATATTGGTTTACTATCCCTAGTTACTTGTCCCTTCCACCTTCCTCATGATTTAGATATATTGAGTTTAGAAGGGATTTTTTTTATGAAATAAAGTGCTTGAAAGTAATTTTTCAATTTAAAAAGAGAGAAATAATCTCAGTGCATTGAGATAATACTCTTAACACCCCCAAATACCTAAAATTCACAAAGGTCCTTCATTTCTTCTCTCATATTCTCAAGAGAAAGAAACATTCAACCTCAAAAGTGCTGTTGCATTATCAGTATACTAAATTTCTTTGCATTCATTTTAGGAGTGAAAGTCCCTCGAAATTTCCGACTGTTGGAAGAACTTGAAGAAGGTCAGAAAGGAGTAGGAGATGGGACAGTTAGCTGGGGTCTTGAAGATGATGAAGATATGACACTTACAAGATGGACAGGAATGATTATTGGGCCTCCAAGAGTAAGCTTTAAGCAATAACTTAAAATTTACTTGCCTCATAAATAACCTAACCTTGTTATAGAAAAGTTCACCAATAGTTTATTTTCTAAACTGGATTATTATTATTTTTTAACCAATTTGATTTTATATATGCAATACTCTTCAGATGTTGTTAATTGTTAAATGATAAAGAAAAGTATTTACTATCAGCTCTCTTGTTTAATTCCTAGTTTGATTTGCTTGACAGTATAAACAGTGAAGTTTGAGATGATTCAATTTCAGATATATCTTAGGTAGAAATGCTTATCAGTGGATGGCTGTCATAAAAATTTTTGAAGCACCTGCAAGAGATATATATATATATATATATATATATATATTAGCACTTGATGTCCATTCCCAATTCTGTCTGTCACTTTGTTGTTTCTGGGGATATGAGAAAATTCTGTCGTTTCTGAGTGGCTCTTCCAAAGTTTATAATAGAAAACCAACTTTATTTATATTTATATTTTCATTTGTTACTATCAGAAAATTAGCCAGAAGAAAGAATGCTACCCTTAGCGTAGAAGTGAACAAATGAATTAATTAAAATCTTAATACCATTTTGTTTCAGACATAAAGTCATTTAGGTGCTGTTAAGTACCTAATATGTACAAGGAACTGTAGGTAATAAAGAAAGAAATGAGACTTGGGCCTTAACTTCAGGGAATATATAACTATTGCTAGCATTGTATTATTACTAATCATTTTGCATGGTGGTGTGATGGGAATGTATGGGTTCTAATTCTCAGTCTGCCACTAATCAGCTATGTGACTTGAGGCAAGTCATTTTGCTTCCCTGATCCTTATTTTTCCAAACATATAAAATGGAGATAACCCTTGTTATCTCTACTTCTGTAGGTTTTGTGAGGGGCAAAGGAATTGATGTAGGTTGGAAGCACTTGGTGAACTAAATGCTATGGAATATTAGGTTTATGAAATAAGAATTACTGTCCCACTTATCCAAGTGTTAATGACTTCAGTGTTAGATTAATTGCATACATGTTGAATAGTAGTGATTTTTACATTTAATACTTGGGAGTAAAGTCTTAAGTTTTGAATCAGCTTTAACTTCGGTAGATGTATGATCTCATCAGAATGGGTATCATCTTTGCCTCTTATCTCAGAAACATTAATGTAGTCTGTCTCTTGTCTCTCTTGCGACTTTATCCTTTTCCAGTTATTATGCTACAGTCTGCTTAGTAGGTACCCACCATTAGTCTTTTAATTGCCTTTTTTTGTTTTTTTGAGGCAATCGGGTTTAAGTAACTTGCTCAGGCTCACACCACTAGTAAGTGTCTGAGGCCAAATTTGAACTCTTGTCCTCCTGATTCCAGGGCCAGTGCTCTATCCACTGTACCACCTAGCTGCCGCACCATTGCCTTTTAAGTTATTTGTAATTTTGATTCTTTGATGATCATTGTATCACATGTGGCTTTTAACTAAATCACTTACCTTGGCTGTTGGAAATGCAAGGTCTTGCAGGGAATACTTGATTACAGGTGCTTTTGTGTCTTAAGAAAATCTTTTTTTTTTTTTAAATAATGCTTGACTTATGGGCATATGTGTTTCCTGCATGTAGTATTAACATCACTGTTAAGGAGTAGACATAGACCACTTGCTTACCTCACCTTTTCCCCTAAGACATTGTCTCAATCATATAATTTTCCTCAAAAGAAAGTCCTTCAAATCCCAAAGCAAGGAACTACTTTCTTACCTGTCCAACATAGCCTGTTTACAGAATGCTAGCAGACATCTGAATGACTCCAGAGAGAGAGAGAGAGACAGAGACAGACAAACCCACCCACCCCTGGCAAGAAATAATCAGCTTTCAGAAGACACCTCTGCTGGTTTCCAAACTAGTGACTACACTTTCACCACTTGCAATAACAATAAATTCTTTCATCACCAACTTTTTTGTTTGTTTAATTTAAAATTTTTAACATTAATTTTTTAAAATTTGGAGTTCCACTCCCTCTCCCCTGGCCCTTCCCCACCCATTGAGAAGGCAAACAAAATGATATGAATTATACAAATTAGCCATGCAAATCAGCCATGTCTCAAAAAATAAACGCAAAAAAGGCAAGAAAAATAAAGTGAAAAGAGTACTCTTCATTCTGCATTAAGAGTTCATCAGCAGAACACAGTTTTTAACCTGGCAAAGCCTATGGCCCCTTCTTAGGATAATGTTTTCAAATGAAAACAAAATCAAATACCTAAGATTATGAAGGAAGTCTGTTATGTTGAACTGAAGTTGTCAAAATGTTTTTAAAAAACAAGTTCCCTTTTTTGAATGTGACCAAGATAGAGATTGGGAAGCACAAGGCCTACTTCCCTCTGGGCTGTGCCACTTCATCCCAGTGCCGAGTATACAGAAAAGTTATGAAATGATGAGGTAACAAAGCCCCAGGCATCACCAACTTTTTAAATGCATCTTAAAGAGCTACGTCCATTGCTTTTTGAAGCACAATATTCCATTGGTTCATCTTGAAGGGGACTTGTATTTATTTCAGAATTTTCATTAAATTACTATAGTGCTCATAAGAAAGAAAAATAAAAACCTAAAACTTTCTCTTGTATTGGCCTCATTTTTGGCTTTCATTTTATACACATAGTAAATATTTTCAAATATCTGACTCCTTGATTTTGTAGTATCTTCATAAAAATAACACTTTTAACTTTGGTTGTTATTTTTTCTCAGCGTTCTGTCTTTGGAATCAGATCATCAGGGATTCTCTACCTCCTTCCTGACTTTTTTCTTAGATTCCAAGTGTTTTATTCAGCATTAAGCAAAATGCGTAGAACTGAGAAAGATTACAACTAATTCTCATTTGTGGAGAATTCAGCCACATTCTTACCCAGCAAAAATATGGTTTCTGCAGTTGATGCTGGATATACGAACATTGCCTCTGATATTGAGCAGTGGTATAACATAGCCATTTCTAAATGATGAAACTGGTTAAATTCCATAGAGGAAACCCAGACCTCGCCTCATTTCCATTGAGTTTATTGGGACCTAGTCATTTTCCCATATAGAACTAAACACATCAAAACTCCAACTAGGTTTTGTTGCTCTTTTCTTAATTAGATTCTGGGCTTGATATTTTAGCAACTTTTATGAAATATGGAAGATGACAGGTTATATAGTGCATCAAAGAAAATTGGAGTCACTTTTTTAGATGTGTAAAGGATGTCAGACCATATGGTCTGCCCCTTATTTTGTTTTGAGAATTAATTTATTTTATTTTGAACTTAAATACCAAATAAAAAGGGCATTTCCATAAAAATAAAAGAACAGAAAAAAGGAATATACACGAAACTACAAGTCTCTTTTATGTACAGCTTGCTTTTCTGTTAAAATATTTAATAAAGCTCCTCTACTTTTCTTTGATTCTTTTTGGCTTCCCTCTCTTCTGTGCATTTAAAAAAAAAATACTTCAGTGACCCTTTTCTTTTGAGTAATAAGTACCTTATTGCTAGTCCTTCTCTCAGTCCCACACTATCTCCATCCCTGCGTTGGCAAAAAAGAAAAGAAAACAAAGCCCTTTTAAACAAATAAACATAAGGAAACAAAACGAATTCCCACATTAGCCAGGCCCAAGATGTATGTTGTTTTATCTTGAATCAGGAGTATGAGGTCTCGTGCTTCATTATTGGTCCTCTGGAATCATGGTTGGTCTTTGGTCCTTCAGTTTTGTTTCTGCGTAGTGTTATTGTATAAGTTATACTATTTCACTCTGTATTCATTCGTACAAATCAGCCTAGGTTTCTCAGAAATCATGCCTCTATCATTTCTTGTAGCACAAGAATATTCCAGGATATTTATATACCATTTTGGTTCTTATTTAAAAATGAGGAAACTGAAGGCCCAGAAATGTGAAGGAGACTTGGCCAAGGTCTCTCAGAAGGTTAAGGACAAGCTGGGGCTAGACCCAGGTCTCCTGACTTCTTGATCAGTCACTCAAGGTTGCTTTGTATTACACAGACCTGAGTTGTTATTTTCTTAGTTTTGCTTTCTTGAGTGATATTTTTCTGTTTGGACTTTAATTTGCAAAAAATGCTTGATTATAATTCTCTGAAAATCTTATTTAAAAAAAAAACTACATAATATATCTTAGGTTTCTATACATACTTTTAAAGAGTACCTACTGAATTTTAAAATAGTCATGCATTTTCATTGGTAGACAATGATTAAAGTTTTTAAGAGGCTGTTTCATATTCTTGTGCTATATTTTGAAGGTTTGTTCTAAGATGTTTTGTTCTTATCTAAGCAAAAGTGTGTTTGGTTTGGGCTGAAAATTTTCTTTCAGTGTGTTGTTATGTATTTCATTATTCTGTCTGGCCACTAGATGTCACTGTTACAAAGGAAACTACCAAATGAACTTAAGGCTACTTAGCCGGACATTAGGGTTTAGAGCTGGAAGTGAACTTAGAAGTCTTTAATCCAGTCCCTTTATTTTACAGATGAGGAAACTGAGGCTTAGAGAGGTTAAATACTTTCCCCACAGTCACACAGATAATAAATAACAGCCTAAATTTGAACATAGGTTTTCCAACTCTAAAACCACTACTCATTCAACTAACTGTATGTTTGCCTCCTCTAAGTGAAGAATATAAATGGTTAGCAGTGGAAAAGGACCTCATACCTTAGAGAGCATGAATGAATGAATCTAGACCAACTTCCCTTTTGTTTTACAGATGACCAAGCTGAAGGCCAGTGAAGGGAAATGATCTTCCCAAGGTCACACAGTGAGACAGTATATCAGGTCTTCAGAGTACAAGTAGTAGAAGACACACTTTATATCATAGTTGGTACATAAATGATTGGACTGCTGCTCCTTTTTCTGAAATTTGTTTAGTAAAAGTTCTAGGATTCTTAAAAACCAGGTCAAGGACTAGTTGATACCATGTCAAATAGGGGAATTAGTTTTCTGGTAGTAAAATAGTGATACATAACTAATTTGAAACCAGTATACCTGATTCCACAAACAAAGGCATTATTTCAAATGCTGTGTTCACTGAATGTTTTATGTTCTGCTGTTTACTATCATGATCCAAAGTTGATTATTGACTGTCTATATATGCCCCTCTTCTTTTTCTAGACAATTTATGAAAACCGAATATACAGCCTTAAAATAGAGTGTGGACCTAAATATCCAGAAGCCCCCCCATTTGTAAGATTTGTAACAAAAATTAATATGAATGGAGTAAATAGTTCTAATGGAGTGGTAAGTTGTGTTTTTCCCTCTTATCTTCACTTGTATTCTTCTAGAATAAAAATCACATAGGATTAACTTGAAAGGGTACTTTTAATCATTAGGACTTTTTAAAAAATCTGAGTTTTTTTAATTGTAAAGATAACATATTGAGAAAAACTATGTTGATTATACAAATTGGTAGATATCTGTAAGCCTAAGTCCATAATCCTTAATCATTCAAACATTGATTAGCACTGAAGGAGATACAAAGAAGATAAATAGTATGCTGGTCATTTTCCCTCCCAGCTAGCTACCCTGTACTTCCAGGGTACATGCATTTGGAGAAGAGCAGTGATACTAGAGTTTGTAACAATTCCTTTGTGTCTCCTGTGTTCCTTCTGTGCAGTATCCCTTTGAGTATTACTATGAAGGGCAAAGCATAGTGGAAAGCATAGTAGACTTGGAATCAGAAGACTTAGATTCAAACCCCATCTCTCACACTTAAATTTTTTGTTCTTGCCTTTGGATCCGTGATGCTTTACGTGTAGAAAATATTTGATAAATGTAGAAAATATTTGATAAATGTTAATTGTTGTGACTTTGGACAAGTTGCTCCCCTTCTCTAAGCCTCAGTTTATATATCTTGTGCAATTTTGCTGTGTGTAAAATAAGGAGGTTGGACTGGGTAACCTCTAAGGTTCCTTCCATTCCTGAATCTGTGGTCTAATGGTCTATAACATTGGCCTAATGCTGCTTGTACTAACTCCCACAGATTGGTTGTGAACAATGCGTAAAGCATTATGTAAACGATTGTCTCTGATTCGAGGCAGTGATGTTTAAAAGTTAAGGTTTATGGCTATATATCTGTAGCCCCAGGCACTGCCATTAATAAGTCTCTCTTCCCCCTGTTTGATCGTAAGTTTCTTTAGGGTCGGGACTATTTTTACAAATTTTATTTTTGTGTGTTTCCCAACAGCACATTGAACATAATGGGTAATGAATGGACCTGCTGGATGGGGCATACTTTTTAAAAAGTCATTGTTAAAAGTTACCTCAGGCAAAAAGGACCAGTGCCATTGATAGAGAAAGGGACCACTAACCCAGTAATTCTGGAGTATTAGGAACAAAATAGAACCTCAAATAGTTTGGTCAGATGTTTGGCTATGAGAACTCCTCCCTGCCTTGGATCTTTTTTTCTTATATTGCCCATTGTAATTATTTTCTAACAATTATGCAACCTTCCCAGAGTAAGAACTATATCTCTAACAGAACCAAAAGTAGGAGGCAATTCAAGGTTCTCTTACTATTTCCTTCTCCTCAGTAACATCAGTTTGAAGAGCAGAAAGGTGAAAATTGAAAGGAGGGGTAGGACCAGGGCTACTGCCTTTCTTTAAAGTAGAATGTCCGAGTTGGAAGAGGCCTTAGAGGCCCATCTGTTCAACATGTTCCTGCAAGAACTCCTTCCTTTACAATATCCCTGACAGATAGTCATTCAGCTTCTTCAAAAGACCAGCCATGAAAGTGACCTCCCTCCCTCCCTCCTAAAGCAGCCCATCCCACTTTAGGACAGCTCTGATTGTTAGGAAGTGTTTCCTTACATCTTTCTCAAATCTACCTCCTTGTAAACTCTAATCTCTTGGTCTTGGTTCTGTCCTCTGAGGTTGAGCAAGTCTAATCCTTTTTCTTCCACATGACAGCCGTTCATTTATTTGGAAACAGGTACCATGTCTTAAGTCCCACCAATCCCTATCCGTACTCTCACCCGAAATCTCTGCTTCAGGCTAAACATCCACAGTTCCTTCAACCAAATATCTTATATGGTTTAACTTTTGTTTCTCTGTTCTGGTTGCCCTCTTCTGGACAGAATCCAGTTTGTCAATGGTCTTCCTAAAATCTAGTCCCTCACATTGAGCAGAGTTTTTTTTTTTTTTTTTTTTTTGGGGGGGGGTTTGTTTTGTTTTGTTTTTGGCTAGGCAATGGGGTTAAGTGACTTGCCCAGGGTCAGATAGCTAGTAAGTGTCAAGTGTCTGAGGTCAAATCTGAATTCAGGTCCTCCTGAATCCAGGGCCAGTGCTCTATCCACTGCGCCACCTAGCTGCCCCACATTGAGCACAATTTTCAAAATGTAATTGGGCTAGGGCAAAATACAAAAGGAATTATTACACTGCCTTGTCCTAGACACAGTACCCTAAAATCTGCTTAGCTTTTTTGCCTGTCATATCATATCATGTGAAGGTTAAGGTTAGTGATTATATTATCAGAAGATAAATTTGGAAGAAAAAAGTGAAAAGTGTATTTTTCATAGAATTACTGCTCATAGCATCTGAATCCTAAAACACTGGCATGTACAAGAGGTTCCAGAGCTCTATAAATTGATGGATTTTTGTTGAATTCTCTTTTTAGGTGGACCCAAGAGTTATATCCGTGCTAGCAAAATGGCAGAATTCATATAGCATCAAAGTGATTCTGCAAGAACTTCGACGTCTATTGATGTCTAAAGAAAATATGAAGCTTCCTCAGCCGCCTGAAGGACAGTGTTACAGCAATTAATCAAAAAGAAAAATCTTCCCCCTTTATTCAGTTTTAAGCTGTCTTCATTTTCCACAGTAGTAAATTTTCTAGATGCATCTTGTAGACCTCAAAGTACTGGAAAGGAAGTTCCCATTCAAAGGCGATTTATCTTAAGATACTGTAAATGATACTAATTTTTTCATTTGAAATATAAGTTGTGCTATAACAAATAATCTTGTCATGTGTAACCACTGTCCACTTAGTTGAACTTCTGGTATCAAGAAAGTCTATTTAAATTTATTACTGTCATAACCAGTGTGGCACATCTAACTCAACTGTGAAAAAATATATCACACAATCACCTTGCTGCTTATATGGCCAAGGATTCCACCACCCTTGCCCTATCCCTACCCCTTTGCAATAGCGTCCCAGCACTGAGCTGTTTATTAAAGTAGACACAAAGGTTTTAACTTCCAGTATGATACAGGAAGCTTAATGGACTACTATTGAGGGTGTGTGCTAATCTGTCACCCCTCCCTTTGTGCTGGCTTTAATAAAGGCTGACAATGCTGGTGTCTTTATTTTTTATTATTAAATTCTTTCCATTTTAAATGGTGCCCCAGCAAGCCATTTTACTTCCCCACAACCTTTGGCCAATGCATAGATTGTATCCCTCTCCCACCCACTCGTCCACCCTCTCTTACATGGGCCTTTGGTGAGGGATTCAGGGTTCTTTCAGTGTCTTCTCTTCCCCCACCTTCGTCACGGGGTGCTGCTCTACCCTCCTTTCTAAAATCAGTCTCCCCATTTCAGTGATACTTCCTCGCTTCTGGCCAGTAGCCAACCCAGGTAGGGTTGGAAGAAATCCCTGACTCCCTTTGTTTCTCATTTTTGGAACTACATTTAATCATCACCAGCCTGGGAAATGAGTATCTAAACTGTTTGCAAACCTGGATCACCCCTCCACCAGCCCTGCCATGCCAGGATGCTGGCAGTGGGCAGTGTTTTTAGCTCAGCTTTTGATACAGTGACAAGAGCAGTAATTTCCCAGGATTGCTCAGATCTGCCAGCTTAGCAAAGGTTTTAGTAGTTAAAAGGAAGGGCTGCCTGAAGATTCCCTAAGCACACACTCCAGTTGAAAGAATTGGACTTGTCCTTGAAAATTGAAGAAATGTGACTTGACAAGCAATGCACTCACTTGGTTGCTCTTTGCCATAGCTTAATAAGAGGTTTGGAATTCAATGGCGGGAACAAAACCTTCAATTTGAATTTGGTACAGATTTAGGTTTTGGCACTTCCTTCTTTCAAGCTCTTCAACAAAGATTGAAAGGGGGAAAACCTGGGTGCATTGCAGATCCCAGAATTTGGCTGGCAGAACTCCCTGGCAAATCACTGCCTTTTCTGATTCACTGTCTTGGACCACTAGCTGCTGCGATGTGGATACAAGCTTAAATAAAAACAATTTATTGTGTCCTGAGGGTTTTTTTAAAAAAATTCAGTATTTGTGTAAATCCACGTTTTAAAGCAGCAGCTGTCAAATCAGAAAAAAGAATTGTTTCCATTAAAACTCTTTTGGGGAAAATATTCGTTGTAAGGATTTCATATCCTCTGTAATTAAAGTTTAACATAACAGTATTCCATAAGCAGCCTTTTTATTGTCAGACCATTGCCTGGTTTTAATATAATAAAGTGTGCATTAATATTAAGAGGCTGCAGTCTTATTCCTCTTAGCTTATTGATTTAGGAGCAGAACTGCTCTGAGCTGTGGCCTTTAATGTCCTGGATGCTAGAAAGAGAGCCTTCTGTGCCTAGCTAGTTCATAACCTCTTTTGTCGTGTTCAGTTAATGTAGATTTTCCACATAAGTTCTCTCTAACCACTGTATTTTCTGCCCTGACAAAACTTATGGCCAAACAAAACAAACGCTAGGATAGTGGGAAAGGATCCTTTCTCCCCGTATCTCAGCAACTCTGTAACTGTTATGGTTTTTTTGTGATATCATGCATTTCTTTCTGTTTAAAGTTGCTAATCACAACTTCCCCCAAGAAGTTGTTCATCTCTTGCTGAAAGTAATTGATAGCTTTGCTGATTTAAGCTCCAGAGGTGTTTATCTTGTTGGATTTTAATTGTTTGAAATGAAATAGTTTTGATTTTGAAGAACTGAACGTTTGGATGACCAAATAAAGTTTACTTGAATAGTTGAGTGAGGTGATGGGTAGTCAAGAAGTTACTGAGAATGTAGACTGGATCCTGTTATTATTAGGGAAGACTACTATTACCATGTCTGGAAGGTGTTCCCCCTGTCCTCTTCCAAGTGTTTCTCTGGTTTGTTAGCTTTCCAAAGAAGAGAGCGGTCTCATTGAGTGCCTTCCTCCAAGAAGGAGGCTCCTGGACCACCCTCAGCCATGTAGTACCTGTCCTTAGACTGAGCAGAGAAATGACCACTGGAGAAGGGAGGTGGGATGGGGTTCCTAAACAAGTCCCCACAGAAAGAATGGCTTGAATTCCTGCGAAATAACCTTTATTTGGGCCATCGATGTAAGTTGCTTTTAAGATAGAGCTAACAGTAACACCACAAAAACTGTTGTACTTTAGCATTTCCAGATGGAATAAAATGTGGCTTCAGCCACTTTTTGAAGGCTTAAAATTTTTTCTTTTGGTACTTTGCTCAGCCTTAGTATAGGGACACTGATGCCTCCTCTTCTTTCTTTTGTATGCAGCCCAAGCCAGCTAGATGAAAGGAGAAGACAGATCAACTCTTGGAAACAAATTTTACTATCAGCACAGTTTGAAAGGTTTAGCTGTCGGAAAAACAGACTTAAGTACAGGACAGAAGAGGTGGTGAACTTCATTTTTATAGTCCATGATATCCAAAAGCAGAGGCTGACAATCCATATTTTCATGTCCTGTAGTACATATCCCTTACCTTCTTCCTGGCAGGATGTACCCAGCCCAACTGTTACTAGTATTTCTGAAAATGTCTTCAATGAAGTCCTCATTTAGATTTAAAATGTGATTGGTTTGATTTCCCTGCCCCTGCCTTCCCCCCCTTTTAGGGAGAGGATTGGAGGCAAACAGTGCTTTGCTCATTGATGAGCTTTCTAGACTGATGTACTTTGTGGGCAGCATCAAAAAGATTTGTGAAGGTCCAAGCCTAGCGTTAGAATAGAAATGTTATTTCAATCTTCCAAGCATCAAAGCCTTCTGTGCCTGGCAATGTCATAGCCTTCTTTGTCACATATTTGCTTATTAGGGTCCTCTCTGACCCCTGTATTTTCTATCTTTACTCATGCAAAGAGGTTGCCATGTAAAATGTCACTGTATTTGAATCAAATGGAATGCAAAAGTGACTTGGAAAATATAATTGCTGGGGGTTTTGAGGGTGGGAGAAACCTTAGAAAATTGATTCCCTTTGGTTGCTAGATCTGCTTTCAATCTGTTACCGTATTGGTCCAGATATAGGCTACACTCTTAAATTGACATCTCTTTGGAAGGAAAAAAAATGTCTACACTGAAAAAATAATACTAAAACTCCTTATAAAAATACATTTACTGTGAAAGACTTTTAAAAACATTCAGTTCAAATAAAAGGGTTTTTTATTCACTTTATCATCACTGCTCTTTGTCACTTTCACTATCATTCTCTTCCTGCTTTCTATAATGTGTAATTTTAGGTGGCATTAAGGTTTCCTATAAACCATATTTTTTAGTGGGGTAAGGGGGAGTGGAGGAAGGGCAGAGTTAAGCCAATATTGGTACCAATACGGTAAATTTGCATTTGCAAAATCAGGAAATAAGACATGAGCAATGTGTTAGAGCTGCCCTGTGACCTTTGCTGCATTCCTGAAAATGAGTGAGGGCAGGTATGTAGGGTTTTCAAAGCAATATTGTATGGATTGTTTCTGAGACTTTAGACCTATGGGTTGATTGGTATATGTGCCACCTCAGGCAAGGTTTAGTGTTGTCTAGCATTGTGAATGGTATAAAAATAAACAGTTATACTATTTTTTCATTGCCCTATGGAGTGTCTTCAGTGATCTTGTTTATATTGTCCTGATGGATACATGCTTAGTATTTAATCTTCAGAAGACTTGAGGGTGGAAGGGAGATTTTCTGTGTTCTCCTAAGCTTAACAGAGAGAACCTTATGGTTTGGGTTGGACTAAGTATATAACTTATGCATATGGATTTGAAGTGGCCTTCTAAAGAAAGATTGCAACTTTGGCAACAGAATCTTGGTCTCTTGAAATTACAATTAGTAAATTCCAAAGAATCAATCACATGTTTTTGGTTAACTAAAATGTTTTGCTACGCACTACTTGAATAAAGGATATGGACCGTCAGCAGAAGACTAGGAGTTTGTCACACCAAGATTTTCATTATAATAGTATTTATGGTAATGGAAGTCAGCCTCTAATGGATTTGGAGACTGTTCTAAGCCCAGCCTTATGATTTGCTGTATGATCATGGCTCAATTAATGTTTACCACTGTTTTACTCTCCTCTCCTTGAGAGTGAAGTGGCACCTTGTGACCTCTTAGATTGAAAAGGTTTCAGATGAATGCCACAAACTCAGAATAACACTGGATTGTGTCACCATTGTCTTCTTGGGATCTATAGAAATAGATATAGAATGACAGTATTTACAGTCTGTTATAAAGATCACAAAACAGAAGACGTATGTGACTCGTGAACCACATTGAGAGAAAATATGGTTTATTGGAAAATAAATGCTGGCAGTCAAGACGTATGCATCCCAGTTCTACTGTGTGACCTTGAGCAAGTCACATATAACCTCTGGACTTTAGTTTCCCTCAGGGTCCCCATCCAGCTTTTAAAGTTCTAGGATGAGTTACCCTGTCTCTGTTAAGGCCTTTCTGACAAACATGTCAGAGAGCACTAAATTTGCACTTGGAAGATGTGGGTTCAAATTTTGGCTTTGTACCTTAGTACCTGTGTGACTTTTAGCCATTTAAATGCCCTCGATCCGAATTTCCTCATCTCTAAAGTGAGAGGATTTGACAAGATGGTATCAGATGTTTCACCTGTAAGGCCTATAATTCTATAGTTGCACCAGATCCATGGAGAAGACACATTTTAAGGTCAGAGGAATGGCTTTCATTTGCATTAGCCATGGTTAATATAGATGTGAATGACTACAGTAAAAACAAAAGGCA